ATCGCTTGAGCCTGGAGGTAGGTGGAGTTGCAGTGAGCCAAGATCTGGCCACTGCACCTACCTGGGCCAACAGAAGCAAGACTCTGTCTCAAAAAAAACTATATAGTGGTATTTAAAATATATATTAATAAAACCTAATATATTGGCCAGGCCGGTGGCTCAAGCCTGTAATCCAATCCACGCACTTTGGGGAGGCCCGAGACAGGCGATCACGAGGTGTTGCCCGGCTGGTCTCGAACTACTGGCCTAATGTGATACTCCTGCTTTGACTTCCCAAAGTGCCTGGGATTACAGGCATGAGCCACTGCACCCAGCCAGTTCTCCTATTTTTAAATTTATTTTTATTTTATTGTGGTAACAACACTTGATGTGAGATTTACTGTTTTAACAAAGTTTTAAGTGTACAATACATTCTCCATTTTCTTTTTCTCCTACATGTAGGATTTGGGTACTTACTGAGTACACTGTGCCCAATGCTAAATTAAGTGCTTGGATAGAGAAAGGAGGTTTGAAAAATTAGAAGCCTTGGCTTTTACCTTCGAAGACTTCATATTGAAGAAAGGACACCATAAAGATGTGACATACTCAGAGAATAATCATCATTCCAGTGAATTGCTGAAAGATAATTTAGACTATAAGAACTGGTCTTCAAATTGCAATTGGATATAAGCCCCGTGGGGCAGGAAGTTTTGTTCATTGCTGGATTCCCCAATGCCTAGAACAGTGCCAGGCATAGTTGGCACTCATTCCTTCATATTTATTGAATTGGCCAATAAAGTAGTGCAGTGTTGCTTTTGAGGGAAGGAGTATGAAGGCTGGAGAGCATTGAGTCCTGCAGAGAAGCTTGGATTTGTGAGAGTAAGAGAGGCACATATGTTCTGGAGCAGAGAAGGTTGATGCAATAGTAATCGTTCCAGAGAAACTGTTCCTGCAGCTGTCATTGCAGCTGGAATAGAAGTGATAGAAACCAAATCCTGTACTACTGCAAACCAAGCCAGGAGGTATGTGAATCTTAGGCCAAGTTCTTCACTCTGTTTTTATTCCAGCTCCTCTTGTGATTTTGTCTTTGAGCTCCACTTACCTCTACTGTCTCCAGTTCAGGATGTCGACTTTAGAGTCCATGTTAGAGTGCAACTTTTTTGTTTGTTTGTTTTGTTTTTAGACAAGGTCTCGCTCTGGCACCCAGGCTGGAGTGCAGTGGTGCACTCTCAGCTCACTGCACTCTCCACCTCCTAGGCTCAGATGATCAGTCTTCCTACCTCAGCCTCCTGAATAGCTGGGACCACAGGCACACGCCACCACACTTGGCTAGTTTTTGTATTTGGATTTTTAGTAGAGATGGGTCGTTGCCCTGTTGCCCTGGCAGGTCTCCAAATCCTGGTCTCAAGAAATTGGCCTGCCTCCCAAAGTGCTGGGATTACAGGCATGAGCCTCTGCACCTGGCCAGGAGGTTATCTTTATTTTATTTTATTTTATTTTATTTTTTATTTTATTTATTTTTTTATTTATTTTGAGACAGAGTCTCGTTCTGTTACTCAGGCTGGAGTGCATTGGCGTGATCTCGGCTCACTACAACCTCCGCCTCCCGGGTTCAAGTGATTGTCTTGCCTCAGCCTCCTGAGTAGCTAGGATTACAGGTGCCTGCCACCACGCCCAGCTAATTTTTTGTATTT